CACTAAACTAACAAATCATAAAATTAGTACAATATTTCCAGTTTTTAACTCTTAATACTACTTAATATTACTTCAATATTCACAAGGACGCCAACTTTACTCTCGTGAGGGTATCGGTCTTTAATAGCATCTTGTCAGTGATAATATCAAATTTATATCAATTGTCGATAATGTCAGGGTTCTTCAAGTACTTCCGGGCCCTTTGGACCCTTTTTATATCACCGAAAATTTGCCCAGGGTTGACGGTCTTTAATAGTATCAGTGCTCCGGTGTGACTCACCTTTTCTCGCGCGCGCGGATGTCGCCTGACCGACCTGACATTAGTCGAAGATGGCGGTGAATGGCGGCGTACGTCTCTTGCTCGTAGGAGTTTTGTGTACTTTTCTCTTGAAACTGTGCAATGGCGCGGCGACGGACATCAAATTGGACGCCAAGGCTCAGCTGTTGCACCGGCTCGACAGTCTCAATCTCCTGCTCTACACGTTCCTATTGATTTTAACCGTTTTAACAATATGGATGTTCAAGCACCGCCGCTTGAGGTTCCTCCATGAAACTGGTCTGGCTGTCATCTACGGTGAGAGTCGTCTGCTATCAACAATTTTCAGCTCTTTCTTTTTCTTGTCAATACACGAATGTAAATATGACATGAGCAAATTGCACAAGTATGCATCATCAAGGACACGTGTCACGTTCTTTCATTGTACCTTCGTCTATTTATGGAACAACAACTTGCAAATTTTACACATTTATCTAACTTATATATTTGTGTTATGAAATCCCTGTCTCAATTTTCAATTTTTTTCGTTAGAATTATTTTTCCTTTTATATGTATAAATTAACTGTGAAAAATAATTATTATTTTCCGACTTTTTTGCAAAATAATCAAAATGACAGTTTAGTTATAAAAGTCGATGATTATAATATTATTGATAATCTAATGATATGATCTAATCATAGAAAAGCATTTTATGTAATTAACATTTGTAAAGTTTTTATAAAATAATTATGAAATAATAAGTTTCTTAGAATATCTTTTATATATATAT